GGCCTCCTTCCTGCATCCCCCTGCTCCATCCTGGGCCTCCTTCCTGCATCCGCCTGCTCCATCCTGGGCCTCCTTCCTGCATCCCCCTGCTCCATCCTGGGCCTCCTTCCTGCATCCTCCTGCTCCATCCTGGGCCTCCTTCCTGCTCCATCCTGGGCCTCCTTCCTGCATCCACCTCCTCCATCCTGGGCCTCCTTCCTGCTCCATCCTGGGCCTCCTTCCTGCTCCATCCTGGACCTCCTTCCTGCTCCATCCTGGGCCTCCTTCCTCCTCCATCCTGGACCTCCTTCCTGCATCCCCCTGCTCCATCCTGGGCCTCCTTCCTGCTCCATCCTGGGCCTCCTTCCTGCATCTCCCTGCTCCATCCTGGGCCTCCTTCCTGCTCATCCTGGGCCTCCTTCCTTCATCCCTCTGCTCCTCCTGCCCCTCCTCCTGCCCCGCCCTCGGGCTCTGCATTGCTGTTCCCATGTTCCCACTCTGCTCTTCCCTGGCTGGAATTCCCTCTGCCCCACAACCTTCTGTTCCTAAACCTGTTATCCCAGAGGCGTTCCCATCACTCCTGATGGGCTTAGCCTTGGAATCCCGTCCTGGAGCAGCTGGAATTGGCTCCATGGGACAGGGGAAGCTTCCAGCAGCTTCCAACAGAAGCCACCCCTGGAGCCCCCCCCTGCTACCAAACCCCAGCCCCAGAACCCCACTAGAGCCCGTTATCCCAGATTTCCTGGAGAGCAGGAGCTGAGCTGGGTCGCTGAGGTGTCTCCTCTCTCTTCCCTGGGCAGGTACAGCGTGTCCAAATACACTTCCATAGCCCTGGTATCCCTTGGGATCTTCACCTGCACTTTCATGTCTGCCAAGCAAGTGGTAAGGACCGGGAAAGAACCCCAATCCTGGCTCTGAACCTCGTTATTCCAGCCCCTTCCTCGTAATTCCCGTTGCCTGAGGGAGGCACAAAGCGTCTCCTCCCTCTAAACCCGCTCCCTATAAGCTCTTGTTCCTGGTTTTATTTCCCTGTGCTTGGGAGGGAAGGAATGCACACAGAAATGTGGGATTTAAATTAATTATAAATGCCTTTTTAACCTGCTTTTTGCTCAGAACAAACCTCTTTTTTTGGGTTGGTTTTTTTTTTCCACAGAGATAACAGATAAAAGCTGGGTTTTTTCCCTTACTCGGGAACGGGTGAATCCTAAATAAAACTCGGCCATCTTCACTCTTTTTATCCCAGAAAAGATGGTTGGCTTTCAGGCAGGGATTTTTTTCCAGACCTTTTTTTATCCAGCCTGTGTTTAGAGAACGGGAGGGAGGGAACAAATCCAGCCCTTGGAGCTTCCCTGGCTCAGCACCCTCGGCCTCATCCTGGCGAGGGATGGCACGAATGTGGCCCAAAGTGCTGCTCCAGGGGAAAATTGGCTGCACTTAATCCAGCTCTGGGAGGTTGGGAATGAAACACTGGGCTGTCAAACCTCCAAATTCCCCGGCATTTAAGGGCTTTTAAGGCACTGAGAACGTCTGGGTGTTAATCCAGGATTTGGGATGGAGCTGACAGCTGGGGCAAAGGGGACTGAGTTAATTTTCCATGAATTACAGGGAAAGAGGGGAGGCAAGTCTGGAGTTTTACCCTGCTCTGACAGCACCTTTAGCCTGCTTTGCTCAATGTATTAACCATAAGCCAGGTTTTAGGCCTGGTTTTAGGCTTTGCCAGAGCCCTTGTTCCTCCCTGCACACTCATCCCTGGGATGGGCCCAG